TCAAGGTCCCTCCCACCCTCAGGTGCTGTCTGGGAGAGAGGAAAGAAGAAAGCAAGAGAGGAAGGAAGGTGTCTCACATGCTGCAGACTCTTTCACTTCACTCCCCATGACTCTCGTATGTGAACTCATGTCTGCCAGCCAAACTGAACCAAACCTCAGTGCCCCACTGTGCGTCCTGAGTGCCCAGCTTTGGCACTCTTATGTGGCCACTTCCTCCATCCTGTAGGGCTGGTTATTAGGGGTGCACATCTTAGCCCTCTGAACATTACACAAATTCCTTGAGAATATGGATTAAGTGTCAGCCATTCCACAATTCCAGGCTCATTGCATTCCATCCACATGGTAGATGCCCACAAAAGCTGTTGAATGAATGAATGAATAATGAATGATTGTATCATTTTTACACAGTAGTTTATGTTATGCCATATCCGTGTCTGAGCTAACAACCACATCATTGTCAGGTTCCATTGTCACCTTTAATTATGAATTACAGGCAAAAATGCAATCCTCAGGAATGTTTTTTTAAGCAAAGGGCCCTTAACTTTTTCCCAGTTGAGTATTTATGCCAGCCTTCTCCCTTACACAAAGCAGAGCTCTGCTAAGAATCTGAGCCTCATCTGATTGTTTTAAAATAGTCCTTGTCCCTTAACTTTTCTTTTTAAACTTTCTATTTCGACATAATTTTTAGATTTACATGCAGTTGTAAGAAATAATACTGAGATATCCTATGTACCTTTCACCCAGTTTCCCTCAACAGTAACATCTCATAAGTATAGTACAGTATTTATACTGTAGATAGAAAATTGTTGTAGATACAAGACATAAATCACTGACCTTATTCAGATTTTAACAGTTTCACATTGCACTTGTATGGGGGTGGGGAGTTGCGGAGTGAAGGGTAGATTAATGACACAGATTCTTCTAAAGCCAAGAAACATAATAGTTTCAAAAAAGAATATTCCTTGAATATTGAAAGCATTTTTCTTATTGATGCTTTCTGTATTTGGAGTGTCCAGCTTACCTGCCTGCTCTAAAGGCCACTAAATATACTGACTGGCACACTTACTCTGTAAGTGAACTAGCAGCAGCCGTGGTTGGAATTGGATCTTCTCTTGCCTCGTCTTCTCCACTAGCTCTTTGAGTGTGCAGGTACACACACACACGCACATTTTCTGCTACTTGCCTTTTTTTATGCCTGAGTACCTTGCTGACAAGTGCTAATAACAAAATACCCAGAGAGAGTCCACTTGAAGTTAACATACATTAAGCATTCTGAACTTGTCCTTTTGCTCATAGATTGTGCATAATTAATAATTAAACAGTTTCCGTTGTAATGGTTTGACCTTCTTGAACTGTTCATTATTCACAAGGCAAAGGCATCACTCAAACTTTTTCCTATTGTCCTTTGCTGTTCTCTGGCGTGCTGCCTGCTTGTGTTCCAGTTATTTAGCAGAAGGGGCTGACCAGGTACTTACTGAAACCTCTGAGGCTTGGAAACTGTCCTCCTTGATGACCAGAATTGCTTACTAAAATGGCTTATGTAACAGTTGCCTGCTTGATAACAAGACCCAGCTTGTGTCCCTTCAGAGGGACTCTAAAGTTGATTTGAGACTAGACTCTCAGATTGAGGCTTTCGGTTAAGGTTGTGTCCACTGCTTCATTCTATACCTCCGTGCTTAGAAGTTCAACAGAAAAGCATCCGAAAAAAGGCCCTTAAGGTGAAGTATGGCACCCAAGATCTTAAAGAGAGTGACTTTCCTTAACAATTTAGAGTCGGTGTCAGCCAGTGCTGAGAATTACCAGTGTAAGTGCTTCTTCAACCCACATTTATATTTTTGAAATATGTTTCTCCATCTTGCCACAACCTATATTTCATAGAGGGCATTTTTGGGAAGTAGCAGCAGCTACTTTACTAGAGTCTCTGAACCGCTTGGGATGATTGGATACTTTCCCTTCCTGTGAGCTACAGTGAAACTGGAGCGCAAATTTACTATATGCTTCCCTCCCTCCTCACAGATTTGAATTAGATAACAAAATAGGCAGGTTCTTGGAGATCTTTCACATCCTGATCAAAACTAACTTTGTAATTTTATTTGCTTTAAAAAGAGAAAAGTGCTCTGTAAAATCCTGTAGTGCAGTGCAGTGAACACTCTCAGATATATTCATTTGCTTTCCTACGGAGTTTTAACAGCCGGCATACTTCTGTGGAGTTGGAGGCTCTCAGAAAATGCCTTTGCCCAGTATTTATGTGTGGCATTCTCACCATCCCCTACCACTCAGTCTTCTGCATCTCAGAAAATTCTCCCTTGAGGAATGCAAGAGATGTGGATTTTAAAACAAAAATAAATATCTGGCATTGTGCATGTGAGATTAGAATTTCCTCCACATCTTTGATGAGTGATTCTTTCCAGGCACCACTGAGATGAGAATACACTTACTGTGGTTCTGCAAAGTCGACTTGGGCTGGCATTTTCAGAAGTGAAATAAATTATTCATGGGTACCACCCAGTGTTCCTTAGCTTTATAATATGAGGAACTTAACAGGCTACAATATCAGGTCTTAAATAAAATTAACTACCCATGCAAGATGTCACATTTCCTCATTTTGTTTCTCATCCGTTTTTAAATGACATCTTCATCAAGTTGCTTGTCTATAATTCATTAATTTACTCTTGGTATCATACTTTGAAATGAGGCCCACATTAGCATCACGTTTTATACCAGATCCCTGTAGAAAGCCAGTCCAGAATTTTAACCATCTTGGTAAATATTGAACCACATTAAGATAGCAGGCCTTTATTTTCCTAAACATTGCAATTTAGAGCAACTACTACTCCACACTTTCAGTACTGTACCCTCAAAAAAAAAAAAATCTATAAAGGGATGACTTAGAGAAGCTTCCTCACTGATCAGAGTCTATCATTTTTGCACCTCAGACTTTGAACTATCTTTTTACTAATGGTTTTTGAGACAGTAAAATGTCGTTTCTTCAGCCGGGCCTTGTAGAATCTTACAGGCTTGGTGATATATATGGCTTTCCTAAAACAGGCTGCAGCTGAAATTGATATCGTGTTTTATTTTTGCTCTTCAAACCGATGGGACTTCTGTGGCCATTTTATAGCACCTTTATTGAGGACTTGTCATGTTATTTCGTGTCTTGTTTCTTTTGAGTGGACTGTTTCATCAGCCACCCATCCGCCCCGTTTTTCATGTCCTCTCGATGTCATGCCTGCATGTAATCCTGTGAACTTGGAGAGATTTTATTTCACTCCCATTTTTCCTTTGTTTTCTCTTCCTCTTGGAACCCTTTCTCTACTGATGAGAATTTTAATCTTAGAATGACTAACCGTCCCTTCTTCTGGATGAATAGATTAAATTCAAAGAGGACAGATATGCAAAAACCAAGAAACATTTTGTTCATGTTTCTTTTCTTTTAGCCTCTTCCGGTTTTTTGTTTTTTTTGTTGTTGTTGTTTTTTGTCTGCCTTGACCCCCTTAGTTCCTTTTGATTTAATTGTATTTTCAAGCAGTTTCCAATTGTTTGAATTGGAAACAAAGCTTTAATAAGAGTTCTAGTTAATTTTCTGTCTTGTAATTACCGATCTCATTTTTCTGATAATTGGCCACAGCAATTATATGTATATTTACTAATCACATAGGAGGCTGTGCAATTTTATCTATCTGCCACCATTGATAATGACACGCATATTGCAGAGGTGCTTTTATCATCTTCTTTTTTCCACTACATCAAAGCTATTTCCTCTCGTTCTCAATAATGAATACATGCATGCATTTGACACAGTTGTGTGCTAGAGAAATTGTTTGGCTCCCACCAAATGCTGCATGCTCTGAGTTTCTTGCCTGCAGCGCTGGAAGGTTGTATGTAATGATATATTGCTCATCCAAATGGCCAAAGCACTCCAAAGCACAGTGAGATTAAAATAAGTCATTCCTTTGTTAATTTAAATAGGTGCATGTATCATACTTTGCAGGGCACTTTGTGTAGGGATGTCAGGGAGGAAAAAAGCCGCCGAAAGGTATTTTTAATAGCAAATGAGAATAGATGAGAATGGAGTCATTTGCAGCTGCCTACTTTATGTGGCTCTCTTGTTCCAACTGTAGGTCTAATGAGATGACTGTTAAAGTACTCTGCAGTGTAATTTCATTACATCCTGAGCTGTTACACTATAAACACAGTGGCGCTCTCTGTCATTCTTGGAAAAACTCCTAAATTCTTAAAGCCTTCCTTTGCAAACGGTAATGGGGTTTGCTCTCTGTGTTACGTGGTGGTGGTGGTTTGTTGCTGTGTAGTTTTCTGCTCTTTTGACTGAGTCCCACCTCCATCCCAGTTTTGGTTGGTGGTCAAGTTGGGAGTTTTTCATTGTATCCTTAATTCACTGGCTTTCTCTCATATGAGTAGTCTGCTTAGACTGGCAAATAGGCTGAAATTCCTTTTTAGGAAACAACTTGCCCTATAAAAGCCTTTATATTAAAGTTAAAAAAAAAAAAATCTGATCCAAATTATTCTATTAGGGGCTAGCAGCAAAGAGCGGTTGAATATACAAATAAATGTAAATAAAAAGGAAAGTGTAAATAAATAGCAAATCCAGTAAAAGAAACAAAGGTCAACACAAGAATAATTTCACAGCTCTTTGTTAATTACAAGACCATTTGTGTGTTACTTAAATAATCATTAATTTCTCATTTACACTTTCCCTACCTTCCTTCCTACCCTGTGGCTATCATTGTCCTTTTTTCACCTCCCCTCCCTCTCTGCTCTCAAGTTTCTCACCATTGTAAAATGTGTGTGGCTTTAAATTTGGCATTTTTACCTAAATGTGTGGAATAGGGTGAAGATAGTCTTTTTAATTGGTTGAGGCCTTATTTTCATTGTATTCATCTTTCTACTGCTCTTTCACATGGGTTGGTTGGGGAGGGGGAATATAAAGAAAGAGAAGGAACTGTTGTGACTTTTGGTGACATGTTTTTCCTCCATCCCAGGATTCGCCCATCCTTCCAGTTGGAGAGTTCTCGGAGCCATTTGTACATTTCATCACTCAGTGGTGAGCCCGTTTACAAACATGCCATGCCCTCAATGTAAATGATACATGCCATTAACTCGGCAGCTCCGTGAGACCTTATGGCTCTCCCCGCTTCCTTTTGGAGACAGGAGGGACTTCAAGGCCTTGGGCAGATGGGGCAGCAAAGCTGAAGAAATTGTTTAAATTATGTAAACCTTATTTACACAAAGGGTCATAAGCATACTTCAGAGCCTTTTTCCTGATTTAATAAACTGCCGAAAGTCAAGTTACTTCTTTAAGCACAGATACTGTTGCCATCCTTTTTTTTTTTTTTTAAAGAAATACACAATTTTATAGCCCCTATGGAACAGACATATGAAGCTTATTTTTATTAATGTAACCTCAAGTTACCCATAAAACTGTCTGTCACTTAGTGGAAGCAGCATAGTTTATTAATTCATTGGATTTTCAGTAAATAACTTTTATCTTTGGTTTTATTTTAAATACAAGACTGGGGTCCCATTTCAATGAATTTTGACATTTGGAAGACTATGAAAACTGTTCATTCAGACCACTTTAACCCTTAAAGAACTGAGAGGAGCCACAGGGGCCCTCAGAGCCTCCAAGCAACTCCTCGTCATTTTATATCTGAAGAAGAAACAAGCATTTTACTGCCACGGGTTTTTTTTGCCAGCCTTCTGCCTTTTTCCTCCCAGCAGAACGGATCTTTCTTTTATCACCCCCTCCACCATCATTCCCCTCTTCCGTCATTCCGCAGGACTCATGTGGCCTTGGGAGGCCCAGGTGTTCCCCTGCCCTCTCCCTCTCCCTAGCACACAGAATCACCCAGGAGAGAGGAGGAATTCGGGAACATAAGAATCACTGTCCTCAAAGCAGGAGACAAAACCAACCGCAACTCCTTCATAACTACGTTGGTCGTCTTCCCTTCCTTCACCACAGTCCTCATTCTCCAGAGTCATGTGTACTGGTGGAAAAAGAATAAGCAGACTCCACCCAAAGAAACCCTTGGTTTTGTGGTGTGGCAAAGTAATGCTGTCAGGATTCTTGCCAACCAAAATCGGTGTTCACCATCCCCTCCCCCTCCCACCATGATCCATCTGATGATTATGCTAAAGGGAAACCAAGAAATATTCCTTAATATAAATGTCAAGCTTTATCACCTTTTTGACTAAGTGTAACATGTTACCTCTTAATAAAAATGTCTCATACAGTTTATATTCCATATATGTGGGGAAGAAATTTACCCCCAATTAAAAAAATTTTATTAACACTGTTTCTATTTATTTAAAATGCTTATGTAATATTCTGTAGCTTTTAAAAACTATTTTTACCCTGAAAAGATTTTATTTCCAAAGCATGCCATGTTAGAAAAAGGAGTACATATTGATTAAATACTGGAATCTTGAGTTGTTTTGAAGCTCCTTAATGATGTTAGAACCATTATCCAGAAATATATATCCCCCCCTTAATTTCCTTTACGTGGAATTCCTAAAACGCGTGTTAATGTATACCATGTGTTTTACACATGGTAATGCTTCACTTTGAAATGCAAAAATTGAAACACAAACCATGCAATTCCTCTACTGCCTGGAGCGGCTGGTTTGGCCATCACACTCTCTGCTTGGGAGGAGATGCTGGATTTGTGACAGGATCGCAGTGCTAATCTTATCTCGCTGTGTGGTCTGAGACCAACCCGGGGGTGGGGCTGGTCTGAGCAGCAGGGAGAAAAGTGGATAAGGCTTCTCCTCCCTCCCATCCAAAAAATGAATCAGCTATTATTTAAAAGTTTTATGGAGACAGAGGGAGGGACAACCTGTATTCAAATTTCCACAGATGTCAAGCCGAAACAGAAATGATAGTGGGTAATAGCCTTGTTTTCCCAAGAGATACAGCTACTTTGGAATGTCAGATTAGGACTGTTACCAACTCCACTGGCGAGACAGCTTGAATTAGTTGCTAATGGATGCAGTATTTGAGAGGTGCATATGGTTATTTATAGGGAAGGCAAATGTCCTCGATGTCATTAATGGTTCGTAACTATGATTCTTGTTTACCAAATGATCATTAAATCTATTTTTTAAAAAAGTACTCTCAGCAAATGCAGAGATTATATGAAGTTTTCTTCTTGCTTATTAGAAGAGTGCCTTGTATAAAGAAAAAAGCATCTGTGTGATTTTTCCAAGTAATAGAAGCAGCAGTCTCCTTTCATGACTTCACCCCACGAACACTCCGAGTTTAGAACAAATACAGCCATCAAGTAGGCAGCTACCCACAGTCACCTCCGTCCCATGTGTGAATGCTTCATCACATAGCTAAGTACATGTTACAGCTGCTAATTATACCTATTGCATGGAAGACAAGAAATATTTTGCATGAGGAACGTGGTTCTTTAAGCAGCGTAAACAAATTTAGCTGTCCCACAGTTTAATGAATTATCAACTTGCCTTGTTGCCAAAACAAATGCAAGTCAAGATAATCTACAGCAAGCCACTTGTAATTGTATAGCATTATCTAGGTTCCTGACCTGTTTTCTATACTTCCTGTCTTTCGGAGTCATAGTGGGGGATGAGTTGTATTCTCATTTGACTCTACAGTCATTTTTTTTTTACTGTCTTATCCCAGTTACCGAAAAAAAACAGAATATTCCCTAAATTTAAGTTTGAAATAAATTGATAACTGAGTCAAGAAGAGGATATTAGGCCGGGCGCGGTGGCTCAAGCCTGTAATCCCAGCACTTTGGGAGGCCGAGGCGGGTGGATCACAAGGTCAAGAGATCGAGACCATCCTGGTCAACATGGTGAAACCCCGTCTCTACTAAAAATACAAAAAATTAGCTGGGCATGGTGGCGCGTGCCTGTAATCCCAGAGACTCAGAAGGCTGGGGCAGGAGAATTGCCTGAACCCGGGAGGCGGAGGTTGCGGTGAGCCGAGATCGTGCCATTGCACTCCAGCCTGGGTAACAAGAGCGAAACTCCGTCTCAAAAAAAAAAAAAAAAAAAAAAAAAAGAAGAGGATATTGCTGCATTTTTCACATTAGCTTCAAAAGTAGAATGAGGATACATTTAATTTAAATTCATTCTTTATTGCAAAATGTTTTTTAAGTGAAAATGTAAGACAAAAAACTTTTCGTTTCTGACTCATAAGGTACTGCAGAAATCTGCTAAAGACCAAAATAATACAAAGGGAATATATGCTAATACTTTGGCCAAGAATTGAACATGATGAATTTTGAAAACATTCAAATTCCCGTACAAATAGCCATTGGTAGAAATTATAGTAAAAATGTACAAATGACACAGATAATATGAGGATTTTTTTTCTCCACTATAGCATGCGAAAACAGCCAAAGGAAAGGCCAGCACCTGAAGAATTGATGGTAAGTGAATTTTTTTAGTTACATTAGAATTCTCAGTTATATATTTATGTTTAGCATTCTGTTTAAAATTCATTTTTTAAAACAGCGATAGGCTCTAAAAAGGCAACATTATTTACTTCATTTGGGAAGATGTTTTTTGAAGCTCATATCCTCAGATAATAGTTTTTACTTTTTAACAACGCACCTCCTTTTTGAAACTTAATTGAGAACTCTTTCATTTGCCTCACTCAAGGGTCACAAACTTAATGCTGGTTACTCTTATCCTCATTTGCTATTAAACCTCTCAGAATTCACAGGATTGGTAACAGAGAATATCATCAGCGCGATAAGTTTTTAGTGCAATTCTGCAGAAAATTTGTGAATATGGCTGGAGTCCTCTTAGATTCATGTAGAATGAAATTAAACTGGCTGCAAAAGATCAAGTTAATGTGAATCTTTGGTCTTTCCTCAGAAAGAGACAGCTACAAGGCTGCGAGTGCTGTGTTCTCAGCTCCAAGGCAGCTTTCTTTGATTGCAAATGACAGTTTTTAGTCAAGCAGGGAGAGGAACAGAGATGCTCCCTAACAATTCCCAAATGGTCATTTATTTAGTGAAGATTGTTGATTTGACAATGCACAAGCTGTTAGAATAACATTAGGATCGAGCATTAGTAAATAATAATTATAGTCTGTTCTTCCTAATGTTTTGCATACCGTTCCCTGCCTTTAGATTACTACAGTCAGAGCAAATTCCTACCAATTTTCTTTTACCTTCTTCAAACAATATGCATTTTACAAATAGCAGGTCAGAGGTTTTCCAACCTAGTAAACAGTTTCAGTGCCCAAACTTTTGAAAAAAATGGATTTCATCCTCGAATATAAAATAACAGTACATTTCCTTTTTTGTATCTTGAATGCTTTTCAGCAAGTTCCATGGAGCAAAATTTTAGTTTTCAGGGTAGCTTCAAGTTAAAGATCACCCCTAAAAACCTCTGCAATGTGTAACTCTGCAGGTTTCATGTCTAGAATAAACTGGTCTCTTTTTTTTGGGTCTCTGTGATGGTTGGGAAATTCTTGCAGTTAGTCACATTTGAGAAAACTTGGAACAGGTTCTAGAGATGGAGACCCATTTACCTTGTGCATTATTATGTTATGGCAGGATAGCTCAGCTATTAAAACAAAGGAATGGGGTTTCATAAAACAGATATTTGTTTGTAAATGCATGTTTCAATGCTGCAGTGAGTTGGCCACCTATAAATAAAACATCTGCAGATCACACATACGCCCATAAATGTATATGGATGTATATGTTGGTAAGGAACACCACTCCAGGGTGGCACATCATAAAGATAAGCCTAAAGGGTGAGTACTATCAGTACCTTGAAAGCAAGTGATGTGGATGTGTGTGGATGTGTCCGTGTGTGTGTGTGTGTGTGTGTGTGTGTGTGTGTGTGTGTAAGAGAGAGAGAGAACATACGTACTTAGATATATCTCTTTACAACTCTACACCCTGTTGTGTGCTGTCCCACATTTTTAATTAATAAATATCAATAAATCAATAAAATACAATGAAAAATGTAGTCAGAGGAAGCACCATGCCATACTTAATTTAACATTATTTCTAGTACTGCTCACCGTTTGATTTTAAATGAATGTATTCCCAGAGGTATGGCAGTGGTGAGGCACCACTGCTGTGGCAGGGCTCAGTGAGGAGGCAGGGAACAATAGACTATGTGAAGCTGCTGTGGTCAGAGAGTGGCCCTGCCCGGACTTTGGCCAAAAGATTGAGCCCAATACGGGCTCAGAAGGAAAGTAGGTTTTCCTTTGTCTTGAGGAACCTGAGCCACATCCTAGGGGCCCAATCTTAAGGAACCAGTCTCTTTATTCCTTCCAGCATATTAATGGCTTTAATTTTTCCTTTTCTCTCCCCGCCTACAACCTATTTGATGGTGCTCCCATCTGGAAGCTGAGAGCCTCCTCTGGAATGCATGAACTGTAGAGCCCATTTGTCACTCTGGGTGGGGGCCTGTGCCTTTCACAAAAAGAGCAGTTTATCTCCCAAGCACAGTAACTCCAGCCAGCAGGGTACCAGTGTGGGCTGCATGGGCTGCTTCAAATGTGAGGCCTGCAGGATTGTCAGGGTTTCCCTGTAGACCTCGATTTCCAAATCAAAGAAAGAAAATCAGAGGTGGGCAGGTGGAAATACTGGAAGTTATAGATTCACCATTTGGGAACTCTTACATGAACTCCAGGTGTGACCTTGACCAGTGAACACAGCAAGTCCCAGTCCAAGCAAATCAGAATGTAGGATTTGTGTGCCAGATCACACTTACTCGTAGGTCTGAGCCACGCAGAGTGGGCACTCAGGTGGTGAGGTCACTGTTTATACCAGAATACCCCTTATCGAATCTTAAAATTACCATCTTGGCAATCTCTGACCGTGTCAGTCTTAAAGATGGAATGTAAAACTCAAGGTTAGACTTTGCAGATCATTACAATCCCAGTATTAGAACTCATTGTTTAGTTATTTTATCCCCTCTACTTTGTGTGGTCATTCTTGCGATGGTTTTCAGTTTTTATATCCTAAGTCAAAGTATTTTAAAGCTGAACCAAGAAATTCCTTTAATACTCACATTTGAGCTGCTGTGGTTTTCCGGCATGTACCATTAAGCTACATCAGAAGTTCTCTCAAAAGTTTATCATCAGCATCTACATCATCCTAAGAGATCTCAGAACTCAGTAAATAATTGAATTTGGTAGTTGATAGACCACTGTGCATCGTCTTGTTCTAGACACAGCAGAAGACATGAAGTAGAGGAAACCACACAGATACAGTCTTTCAGGGGATATAGCAAGCATACAAATAACTGGAATGAATTAACTGTTATAAAAGAACTGTGGAGTTTTGTGGAGATCCATTTGGGGAAATGAGGAAAAACTGGGTGGAGAAGGTAGCATTTGCAAAGGGCCTTTGGAGGATGAAGTGAATTATAATAGAGAGTTTTGAAGGGGCCATTCCAGGCAAAGGAAACAGGATGGGCAAAGCATGAGTATATGTTGGTCTCAGACCTTTTCACAGCAATGTAAAGCCTCCAGTACCTGCTGGGACAGAAACCCCTTCAACATATTCACCACCAGCTGGGCAGTCCCTTAAGAAATTCCACTCCTATAGAAGGAACCCCAGAAACAGCACACCTACCACATGGATCTTTTTCTTGAGTGATTTCGTTTTTGCAGTGGAGCGGGGAGAGACGGAGCCTTGCTCTGTCACCCAGGTCTGGAGTGCAATGGCACCATCTTGGCTCACTGCAACCTCCACCTCCTGGGCTCAAGCGATTCTCCTGCCTCAGCCTCCCAGGTAGTGCCCACCACCACGCCTGGCTAATTTTTGTATTTTTACTAGATACAAGGTTTTACCATGTTTTCCAGGCTGGTCTTGAACTCCTGGCCTCAGATAGTCCACCTGCCTCAGCCTCCCAAAGTGCTGGGATTATAGGCATGAGGCACTGTGCCCAGATGAGTGAATTCTCTTGAATGGACTCCCATTCAAGTAGAGGGGGTCCCTCATCCTTGGAAAAGATGTGACCTTCAGTTCTTTAAGAGCCTATTGCATAAATCAGGAGTCAGCTTTAAACCCTGCTTTAAAGGTAAACCAAGCATGCAGGCAGCCAAGAGCATTCAGCATGCTGACACAAGACAGACAGAACACCACCCCCACCTCCACCTCTACCTCCAAATCTTTTCCTGTGATGTTAAAGAATCTGCTTTTTTTTTTTTTTTTTTTTTTTTTCTTTTTTGAGATGGAGTCTTGCTCCGTCGCCCAGGCTGGAGTATAGTGGCATGATCTCAGCTCACTACAAACTTCACCTCCCAGGTACAAGCAATTCTCCTGCCTCAGCCTCCCGAGTAGCTGGGATTACAGGCTCATGCCACCACACCTGGCTAATTTTGTATTTTTAGTAGAGATAGGGTTTCACTGTGTTGGCCAGGCTGGTCTCTAACTCCTGACCTCGTGATCCGCCCATCTCAGCCTCCCAAAGTACTGGGATTAAGGCGTGAGCCACCGCATGCAGCTAAGAATCTGCTTTTAAATCACGATGCTGCAACTCACAGGAAAGACCTGTGTCAATGCTGCCCCAGCTCTGTGAACTGGGACCAACAAACTTAGGGACAAATTTTCTGAGAGTAGAGACCCTGAGAAAGCCGCAGACACAATGCTCAGCAGGCTTCAGACAACTATGCAGGGATTCCACGGCTTATGTGGGAAAAAGCCAGCCCCTTGCCAGTCAGAAAGGATTGGTGGGACTGCGGCAAGAGGGGAGAGAGAAGGAATGCAAAGGTGGCAGAGAAATTTCCCTAAAATGTCAATAATCAAATTGAGAGATGCAAAAACATAAAAATCAGACCCTTAAACTGAGGGGCAAGACAGCCTAAGATGAAAGCATTAAGACGGGGGTTCAGGTTGGTTTTGCTATTCAATTTCTATGTTTAAATATTTTTAAATAAAAGGGATATGTGAGACATTACTGTATAGACCATTTGCTTCTCTAAACCACAAAGAATTCCTTCTGAGGAATTAATCTTCCTTCAGAATTATTTGGTAGATAAGGTCAAGCTGTGACTTAGCAGGGAGCACCTCCATCACGTCCATTCACTGTGTAACCTCAGCCAGCTCCCCATCCCCAACTCCCCACTTCAGTGTCTTCATCTGCAAAACCAAGGGGTCAGCCCTTGACCAATGGACTGTGACTTTAGGAAGCCAGAGCCCCAGAAATTACATCCAAAGTTATGTATGCATGTGGAGATGTGCTTTTTCATCCAAAAAGAGGAATTCATGACTGCTGCGTTTTTCAAAGGGGACCCTGACCCTCAATGATTGTTAAGCTCCCTAGCTTCTGTCCTTTAGAATTACTTGGCCAGGTGCCTACTGTAGGGAGGGTGGTGTTTCCTCAGCGAGAGAGTGCTTGCTTGGGGGTGGGGGGTGCTTTCTGTGGGGTTCAACAGGGCTTTGCACCAGATGTC